TCCCTAGCTGGTTTCAGAACTTTCTCTTTATCCTTGTATTTTGCCAGTTTCATTATGATATGTCATGCAGAAGAGTGATTCAAGTTACGTCTGAAGGGAGTTCTCTGTGCCTCTTGGATTTCAATGCATTTTTCCTTCCCCAGATCAGGGAAGTTCTCAGCTATGATTTGTTCAAGTACACCTTCAGCCCCTTTCTCTTTCTCTTCCTCTTCTGGAATTCCTATTATACGGATATTGTTGCGCTTCATTGCATCACTTAGTTCTCTAATTCTCCCCTCATACTCTTGGATTTTTTTTATCTCTCTTTTTCTCAGCTTCCTCTTTTAGCATAATTTTATCTTCTACTTCACCTATTCTCTCCTCTGCCTCTTCAATCCAAGCTGTGGTTGCCTCCATTTTATTTTGCACCTCATTTATAGCATTTTTAGCTCCTCGTGACTGTTTCTTAGTCTCTTGATCTCTGTAGCAATAGATTCTCTGCTGTCCCCTATACTTTTTTCAAGCCCAGCGATTAATTTTATGCCTATTATTTTAAATTCGTGCTCCGTTATATTGCTTAAACCATTTTTGATCAATTCGTTAGCTGTTGCTACTTCCTGGAGTTTCTTTTGAGGAGAAATCTTCCGTTTCGTCATTTTGGATAGTCCCTGGAGTGGCGCTGAACTGCAGGGCACTTCCCCTGTGATGTCTGGAGTAACTTGTGTTGGTGGGCGGGGCCGCAGTCAGACCTGATATCTGCCCCCAGCCCACCACTGGGGCCACAATCAGACTAGTGTGTACCTTATCTTCCCCTCTCCCAGGGGCAGGACTCACTGTGGAGTGGTGTGGCCCTTATCTGGGCTACTTGCACACTGCCAGGCTTGTGGTGCTGCTTCTATGGGATCTGGCATATTAGCCAGGGTGGATCCTCAAGGTGTACAGGGGCGGAAGGGGCAGGCTTAGCTCTCTTTGCCGCCAGTGGTCCCCTGCGGGAGGGGCCCTGCGGCACCTGGACGGAGGCAGACAGACCCATTGGAGGGATGGATCCACAGAAGCACAGAGTTGGGGGTTTGCGTGGTGCAAGCAAGTTCGGTGACAGAAACTGGTTCCCTTTGGGATTTCAGCTGGGGGATGGGTGAAGGAGATGGCGCTGGCCAGTGCCTTTGTTCCCCACCGGGCTGAGCTCCATCTTCCAGGGCTCAACAACTCTCCCTCCCCGTGTCCTTCGCCCTCCCGCTCTCCGAGCAGAGCTGTTAACTTATAACATTCCAGATGTTAAGTCCCACTGGCTGTCAGAACTCATGCAGTCCGGCCCCTCTGCTTTTGCAAGTCAGACTTGGGGATTTTGCCTTGCCGGGCTGGCTGCCCCTCCACCGCCCCGACTTCCTCCCACCAGTCCGTGTAGCGCACTGCCTCTCTGCCCTTCCTACCCTCTTTTGTGGGCCTCTTGTCTACACTTGGCTCTGGAGAGTCTGTTCTGGTAGTCTTCTGGCCACTTTCTGGGTTATTTAGGCAGATGTGGGTGGAATCTAAGTGATCAGCAGGAAGTGGTGAGCCCAGCATCCTCCTAGGCCACCAT